CCGCTGCAGAAGGAGAAAGAGTAACTTTGCTTTCTATCTCCTTCAGCGGCACGACCCACCTCCCACCCTGGCCATGAATGGTCTCTGAGAAAGTGGTATCTTTGCTTTCCTGGCCTGTCTCCGTTGCCACTGCCAACCATCAAACCACTTCAGGGCCCTCTCTCTGCCTGTCCTTTGTCTTTGGGGAAGGGGTACCCGAAGGACAGGTGGGACTTAAGGGGGAGGCCAAGGGGAAGAGCAGAGTGCTCTGAGAACAGTGAAGGCTCAGGTGCAGGGGTCAGGTGGGGTAGAAGGAGGTTAGGGGGTATGAGTGTAAGGTTTGATGTGGGCTGGGGTGGGGGCAGCAGGAAAGGCTCTCTGGAAGACTGACCTCATCAGGGCCAGAGTTTAGAAGCTGGGAGCTGGAGCCCCGGGGAGGGATGGATGGAAGGCCTAAGCTGATGCCATGGGTTGGGGGAGGGGGTAGCAAAGCTAGAAGCGTTATGATGTGGTGGCTGACAGGCTATGCATTGGGTATCAAAGGGCTGGGGGCTATCCTGGGCATCTGGTGAGGAGGAGAGAGAGATGGGCACAGAGGAGCATCCATTTCTGGAAGAAGGTGCTGTGGACTGAGAGTAAGAGTAAGAGTGAGAGGCCTAGGGACCAGCTTGGGGGGGGGGGTGCTTAGGCAAAACCTGAAGCTAGGGAAAGGGGAGGAGCCAGAGCGTGGAGGAGCTGGATGGAGACAAGAACCAAAGACAAAAGAGGCAGAGAGAGGGACCTGAAGTGGGTTGATGGTTGGCAGTGGCAAAGGAGGAGACACAGGCCAGGAAAGCAAACCATGCCTCACTCTCTCCTTTCCTTTTTTTGTTTTTTGTTTTTTGTTTTTTTTTCGAGACAGGGTTTCTCTGTGGCTTTGGAGGCTGTCCTGGAACTAGCTCTTGTAGACCAGGCTGATCTCGAACTCACAGAGATCCACCTGCCTCTGCCTTCCAAGTGCTGGGATTAAAGGTGTGCGTCACCAACGCCCGGCCTCCTTTCCTGAAGGATTTGGAGGAGGCCTGCTCTGGAACCCTCCTACCCTACCCCTGGTGACTTCCTGCCCTCACTGGCATTCTCTACCACCTGACTCAGGGCTCTGCTCATTCTATCTGTAGGAGGTTTGAACCCCAAAGAAGAAGAAGAAGGAAAGAGCCTGTAGAGTCACCTGGGAAGGACTGGCACGGAGGCCATCTGAATGTCCATTGTAGATGTACACACTGCCATAGCTGGTCCCATCGCCTGCCTCAAAGCCCTCCAGAGGGGCCCCAATGGCCACATCTGTGAATTTATCTTGATTGATATCCCCCACTGCTGCCATGGCAAAGCCAAATCGACTGTTGGTGAGCCCAGGATGCCCACTCAGTGTGCGTGCCAAGGAGAAGGAAGCATCCTGCAAAGTGAACCAACAGCTCAGTTCCCAAGAAAGGTGTGCAGGGCAACCATCCCAGGACCACCGGGAGGGCATTCTCCCTCACTGGTTCCCACTCTCTAGCAGGAGTCCAAGGCTGAGAGAAGACAAGGGATCTGAGCCTACAGTAAAGCCGGTACCTTCCTGTCTTGCAATTCAAGACCTGGAGCCTGTCCCTCTACTCCCACACATTGCTATATTAGCGATAGAGAGACCTAGCGGCCAGTTGCAGCTCTCCCACACCCAGCACCACTAGATCACTGAATCTTAGACTCCTCATCAATAATGTGAAAGGGAGAGCCACTCCCATAGTTACTGTAAGGAACCAGGGAGACCAGGACAAGCGTTCTGTCTACTGGGCAACTATGACAGATGCCACCAACAACCACCCAGGTAAGCAACAGGGAGACAGCCATGCTCCCTGGCTGTCTGGAAAGGGACAGCTATGCTCCCTGTGCACCCACCATCATTGCCCACTTTTGCTGAATAGATGTCAGGCCAGGGCTCATCTAAGCCTCTGCTACCTGAGTAGGCACAGCCTTGGCAAGCTCATGGCACTGAACACTCACCTGCTCATGCACACGGTACACATAGACTCTGCCTTCTTCTCCACGAATGTGGTAAAATGGAGCGGCCACCAGCAAAAAATCCGTAGTTCCATCCATGTCAATATCCACAGAGCACAGCTCAGAGCCAAAGTAGGACCCCATCTACAGCCCAGAAAGAATTCAGCCCTCCTGAGGATGGGGACACGCCCTTTCCACCCTCACCACAGCTAGGCCCACTGCTTATGCTCTGCCTGGATCACCAAGTGGGGGGTTCAGATCAGTCTGATCTCCGGAGCCATAGGGGGTTGGGAGTGAACAACTGAGTCTCCACAGAGGGAGACCACTGAGTAGACATGAGGGCTACTAAATTGTACTCAGGCCTGAGCCTCTCCCAGGGTGGGCACACCCACTCATCTCCCCAGGGCTTCTACTCGGGGCTTCTACTGATAGAAAGGTGACTCCTCCAGGAGGTACCTGCTCTCCCTCCAGTCGACGCACAAAGGTGGCCTTTCTGTCCTCCTTCTGGAGCTGAAACACAGCCCCACGGATCTTGTGCCTTGGAGCTCCTGCCACGTAGGAGAAGCCGAAGACCATGTGCAGCACTGCCACTGAATAACCTGGGGTCAGAGGGGTGTAACTGTAGACAATTGCTCCCCACCTCCAGTCTCTCCCTTCAACGCATCTCCCCAGTCATGTGTTCCCACTTCTCCACCGACAGTGACATGTGTGTCCCCCATACACGTGTGGTACATGGCACTCCTTGGGCACAAGAGCACTGTATGTGATAACCAGGATGAAGGATGGGGAGGGGAACTCATAGCTGTTATTAACAGAGGCCCAAGCCCACCCGGTCTCCCTCCTTAATTCTCAATCTCAGAGTCCCTAACTGAGGTCTGATCGCCCAGTTGCGTGTGACCCATGAGATTGACCATAGCTTGAGGAATCCTAATGTACACACCATCAGGCAACCTCGGTGTCTCAGACTACCTTGTCCCTGGGTTAGCTTCCAAGTCCCACTTTTAGCCCCTCCCCCGGACTACAGACACAGCGCTTTCTCACCCAACCACCAGGCCGCACTCTCACCCTATCTATATCCATTTGCTAGGTTTCACTGCACTCCGGGTTCCGCCCTCCCCAATCAGGCCCCGCCCTCAACCCACATCCAGCCTACAGGCCTCGACTTCACCCTCCTGCTATCTATCCTCTAAAGCCCTCTCCTCCTTGCCACCTCCAGGCCCCACCCTCGTCCCATCTGCATCCACCATACCCTGGCCTTACCGAGATAGCTGTACTGTGCAGCCCCGGAGTCCTCGGCTGTCTGGTTTAGGAAGCTGCCTTTACCACTCCGTGTGTCATAGAGCAGTGCTCCACCCGACCAGTTAAAGGCTCCCACAGTGCCAAGCAACACCTGTCCCTGCAGAGGACCCAGAGAGCATCAAATGAGTGGTGAGGGGGTGGGGTGGGATCCAGGGGCCATCGAAGCAAGACTTCCTGGACAAAGAGGTGGCAAATACGGGGTTTCTGCTCTGTTTTCATGAGTCCACTGAGTAGCCATAGCTCCAGAAGGCACCGTGGGACCCAGATAGTGAGCATTTTTAAAAGTATGGTTGAGCACTATAAGGTACTCATAAGCCCCCACTTCATCCCCTGTGTTGTGTGAAGGTAGAAAAGGTCCCGATGGCATTGGGGTGACTGACTTCAGCTCCGGCCTGCACAGGGTCCCAGTTAGTGGGTATTCCGTCTGTGGTTCCATTCCTTCTTCCTTCTCAGCTTCCTCTTCTGTCACACGAACTACATGTTTTCCTGACACACCTTAGTGGGCTTGCCACCAAGGCCAAACCTCAGTACTTACAGCGAATGTCCGAATCCTTTAAGCACACAAAGTGACCTCCTAGAATAAACTCGCCACTCTTTTGCTCAGTGGTCCAGATAGGGCAAGCTAGTAGATGGGCTTCTCTGTTTCTAAAGTGTATCCTCTAGAGACACTCCCACAGAGTAACTATAAGCCAGGAGCCCCTCACTGCCTGGTGGTGCCACATCTTGGGGATCCTGGCTGTGTTGAGTGGGCCACAAACCTTGTCCAGGATCTGGGCGCTGAAGCCAGTCTGTGCAAGTTGATATTGAAGGGCATCTCCAACTGTGCCTGGAAGCCAAGGAATCTGGTGAGACACTCTGTGCCAAGGGACAGGGTGAGGCATGTCTAGAAGGGGCCAGCTGGGCAAGGCACCCAAAGGGGTGAGTATTTGGTGGAATGGTGCACTGAGCTGAGAGCCGAGATCTGGGTTGTGCTTAAGGAAGAACTGGCTGGCTAGGCCTGGACAGTCTACATCCTCTTGCAGAGCCTCAGTCTCCTCATCTGTAAGCTCCTGTTGGGACTATGTCCTGGTCTTCACTGCCTATCTACCACTGCTTCAGTAGGGGTTCATAGCTTCAGAGAGGTGAGGAGGACTCGGGGTGCCATTGCCATTTTAGAGATTAACAGCTGTGGCTCAGGAAGGTGGTCAGGGCCAGGGAGAGTTGGTCTAGGGAAGGGTGTCCTGCTGCAGGCCCATGGGAGCCCTTACCTTCCATGTGGATGATGCTTTGTTGCAGCTTGCTCAACAGCCCATCCAGAGCCATGTAGTTGGTCACCTTGAAGGTGTGGGTCTCCTTGGGGTCGGAGGCAATCAGCTTCAGTTCTCTGTCAGTCTTAGCCTTCTTGAATGCATCGCCCACCTTGTACGAAGAAGGCCCCAGTCAGTGAGAGATCCCTCACCATCTCCTTCCTTCTTCCTTCCTGCCCTGCTTACTGTCCCTTCACCCCCAACAAAGCTCCACTTTTGGCAGTGTGTTCCTGACACACCTGGCTGTCCTTGGCATCCTCATGTATGCCGACCCCTCTGCCTACAGGGCCTGGTGACCCTCCCCTGTGCATAAGGCCAGTGGTTCATGTTAGCTACCAGGACTCAGCTCAGCACTGTCTCCCTAGGAAAGTTTGTACAGGCTTTCCCCATCCTGTTCATCCAGTGAGCTACGCCCACCTCGGTATGAGCCTTCTGTAGGACCCAACCAATAAGGAGTGGGGTGTGGAGGACCAGGTTGCCAGGAGAAGAGGAGTGTCTATGAATAAGAGGGTTTGGATATATTGCTTCCAAAAGCCTCCATCGGGCTCCTCTCAGGCTATCCAGAGTCAGGAGGTTGCCTCCCAGATCTTGGTTCTTACCCCAATGGCAAAGCGCTCAATACCCTGCATCTTTGGGGAGTTGATGACAGTCGTAAGGTTGAGAGGGTCCCCAAATATGTCACCATCAGTAAGCACCACCATGACCTTTGATGCTTTCTTTCTGGAGCCACGGCTTGGAGTGAAGATGTTGTCTCTTAACAGAGAAAGAATGAAAACAATCTTCCAGAGCCTGGGCTCTGGGCAAGTTTTTACTCACTGACCTGCTTGAATTGGAGAGTTAAGGAGCCCACAGATGGGGAATAGAGGCACAAAAAAGGGTAGATTTGGACCTTACTTCACACAGCAAGGCAGAAGCCACATAGATGCACTCACTCCTCACCTGCTCCCCATAGTAAGAGCACAGTGTCTGCCCCATTCATGTGTACACAGTTTGGAGTTCTAGTTTTCAGGCAATACTTACTTTTTATTTTATGATCATTTCACTTCTATAAAAATTTATATTTTATATTTTTTTGTTTGCTTTGGGTTTTTTGGTTTGGGTTTTGGGGTTTTTTTGTTTTTTTTTTTTTATTTTTTGGTTTGATTTTTTGAGACAGGGTTTCTCTATGTAGCCCCGGCTATCCTAGAACTATCTATGTAGGTCAGATTAGTTTCAAACTCACTTTTGTGGTTTTGAGGCACAATTGTCCAGCCTCCTGAGTGCTGGCATTACAGATATGTGTCTCCAATGCCTGGTTCCTATGGTACTTATGCACTGGACACTATCATAAATATTGTATATATTCAGCTATTTAATCCTCACAAAGTCCTAAGAAGCAAAGATTTGGGGTATCTTCATGTCAGAAGTAACAGCATTTCTTGGCATCCTAAGTACCACCCCAACAGTTCCACCCAGACACTATGCCGTAGAGTCCCACTCACAAGACATGCTGCATGGCTGAGGCAGTCTTAGTGACATTCTTCACTTGAACAATGCTCTGGACTCTGGCAAGGGAGGCCATAACGTCCTGGCTGTCTCGAAGATCAAACTCAGTCTGGATCACATAACCGTACTGCACCAGGGCAAAGCTGCACTGGAGAGCAAAGTGGGGTGGAGGGGGTCATCAGATTGTACTATAGACACTCCTGCCCTGAAGGGGCTTCCCTTGGAAATGCAAGAAGAATCCACTCATCTACTCTGTTGATCCTGGACAAAAGGAGATGCTAATGCAAAGATAATTTCTAGTCAGGCACCAATGGAGGAGAGTAGTTTCTCCCTGAATCCGCACCCCATGGCGACCCCTCTATGTTGACTATAAGATCTGCTATGTGGCTTTCTTTGACCAGTGGGAAACTAGCAAATGTATGTATTGGGGCATTGGTGCATGAAAAGGTAGGCTGGCCTTCTGGAGATTCACGACTACCACAAATGAGTAGGGCCATCTCCATCTCAGGCCACCCCTCCCCCGTCAAGCAAGCAGATGCTTAC